AGATAATTTCATTCCCTGGTCTCCCTTTCACTGGAATATACTCTTTCTCCATTTAAATTGAGCTCTCATATGAAGCAATTTGATGGAAACTAGAGACATCGATAGCCATTAGGCCGCATTGCACAGGAGGGCCAAACGTGGCAGGCTAGGCCTCATCTATTATTCATGTGCTTTAGTTTCTCTCCCAAAACAACATTTCTTATATTCTTTTTGCATCATGCTGACAAAAGAGACGAGTCAGTGGTTTCACATATCGCTTTCTGGACGGGGACAATAAATGTTTCAAGATAGCACCGGCCTTTACAATACCCAGTAGGGGAATGTGTCCATGGTCTTCATCTCCTAATGTGGCCGGTACCTATTACCTTTTAAGAACAGGGGAAACATCATATCCTTCATATTTCTTTTGTATCTAATATAATGTATTAGAGCACTGGCTTAGAGATAGTGATCAGATATTCAGGAGGACAGAAAGAGTTAGTATTAGGTTAGCTAGGGTTAACATTGGTAGTGTACTGTTTGTTAGGATTAGGGTTAGACTTTTAGGCCTATTTTACATTAGGTTAGCTAGGGTTAACGTTGGTAGTGTACTGTTTGTTAGGGTTAGGGTTAGACTTTTAGGCCTATAAAATCTTTTAGCTTTTTCTAGGGTTTTTAGCATACTTTTAGCTAAATATTTGTATTATTCATTTTTTTTACTATTGTCTTGTGGCTATTTCTGAGCTTATTACCTCAGTTTACTCACTTTTTGTTTTGTTGTTATATGTAAGAAAAAAAATACATGAAGTAAAGGAAAAGCTGAATATTATACAGAGCAGGTATAAACTAGAAAAAAGCCAAATAAAGTGGATGGTGTCTTGGAAAAGAACTCAATAAAATGCACTTTTCATTTGTGTCGACCGCCGTGCAGCAAATCTGACAGAACGGAGAGAGGAAGGCTATAAAACTGTTCCTTCTTCATGTTGTCAGCAGTTCAGATTAGCTGTCACATCACTGAGGGAGAAACATCTGAAGATTGGCGAAGGATGATTTCATCGGTATAATTCCATGCTTTGACTGGCAGGGCCCTGACGTCACAGGAAAACAGACTGTGTTCTGTCCGATACACTAATACAATCGTGTCCCCTTTGAGAAAAGACACATCAAACAAATCAATCAAATAAAAAAATAACCCACTCACTCCACTTTTTTTTTTTTTTGAGTAGACCAAAAGACCACCTTTATTTGTTTTTCTCCCCTTGCTCGGATTTCCCATGTTTACTTTTGATTGACCGACTTAATGACAGACATCAGTTTTTACAAAATAAAAAACACCATAAGAGAAAAGGAGACAAACTCATACGTGATGCTGAGGCCTGGAGGCATCCTACGACTACCAACCAAGGATCACAAACCAGAAGATTGATAGAAGGACAGCATCAGTGGAATAGAGGAAGAGAAGACACATTTTTTTTAATAATCCACAGGCTATATCCCATCACTGCAGCCCACACAGGAGTAATTAACAGTGATTTTAAATGCTACAAAAATAAGATGAAACACGGAAGGAAGTAGTGCTTACCCTTGATTGTGTTTGATGTCAGTGTGTCTTTGTACATGTGTGTATAATGAGTTTCTAAATGTCCAGATTTGCATGTTCGTTTGTACATAGTGTATATCTGCATTAGCGCGCGTGTGTGTATGTGTGTGTGTGTGTGTACACAGGTCCTTATGAGTGTGTTCACAGTGCTAACGCATCATGTTCTCTTCCCCAACATGAAAGAATTTCAAGTCCCATGACACAAATACACAAGCATACACATCCACACACACACACACACCCAAACACACAAACACAAACAATAACCCTTTGCATTCTTTCTTTGCCACCTCTTTAAGGAGCATTCACACGTACACATCGGGGGTGTCCAAACATTTTCAAGACTTGATTAGACAATGTCAAAATGTCTACTTCTACCGTGATACCTGATGAGTAAAAAGGGTCATCAGATTCTTTGCATTTAAAGGTGTTGTAACTGTTCGTCAAATGCTTTGAGTGAATCAGTAACATCCTTGAATTCTTGGTGGCTGACTCCAAGATTCTAAGAAGTAGGCTTAGAAAGAGCTAAGAGTTAGCAAAAAACATATCCACCACCAAATCATCACCTTGTTTTACCCCATCAGTACACCATCGTTTCGAAATGAAATACTACATATTACAAGCTAGATAGCACAGAGTGGTTAGCCAAAATGATCATTTTTAAACTCAAACCAAAACTTCACTACGGATGAGTGCAAAGTTAGCACTAAATATTCAAGCAATAAATTAATAGTAAACTTACTAAAATATTAGTTAAAAAAAGCTAAAGGTCAGGTGAGCAACAGATTAATATCAGCTTAGAAATAGTGAAAAACAGTTAGTGGAGAAGACAGCGAAACGTTATAAACAAATATAATTAAACATAACGCAGTTACCAAAGGAAACATAGCAAAAAATTGGTTAGTTTACATGATATTAATTTAAAAATAGCTTCATAGTAACCTAGTCTAAGTAAGTAAAAAAAAAACAGACAGTAAAAAAAACATGCAATTGATAGAATTGCAATGGAAAAAATCTATAATAGATCCACAACATATTTTCTACCCTGAAGAAGATTTATAAAAGTTAGACAATAACTGGGCCTGACTTACTGACTTTACACAGCAAAAGTCATAATAAACACATCAAATAAAACATGAATCCACATTGATGGACTTTCTGTGCATCACCCTTTACCTCCTGGTTTCTCCTTGTAATTACTTTTGGTCATGGACTTTGCTTTGTCTCTATTCGGATGTATATGTATTTTTTAAATTTAAAAATAGCTTCATAGTAACCTAGTCTAAGTAAGTAAAAAAAAAACAGACAGTAAAAAAAACATGCAATTGATAGAATTGCAATGGAAAAAATCTATAATAGATCCACAACATATTTTCTACCCTGAAGAAGATTTATAAAAGTTAGACAATAACTGGGCCTGACTTACTGACTTTACACAGCAAAAGTCATAATAAACACATCAAATAAAACATGAATCCACATTGATGGACTTTCTGTGCATCACCCTTTACCTCCTGGTTTCTCCTTGTAATTACTTTTGGTCATGGACTTTGCTTTGTCTCTATTCGGATGTATATGTATTTTTTACATTTTTGGATGACAGAGTGCAAAGGAAGTGATGAAACAAACCCAAAATGTAATTTTGTAACTTTAAAGTTCCATGTGGAATAAGTCAAAGTTTAGTTATTGCCTCAACACATATAGTACGTGTGAATCCTCCTTCATAGTCAGACACCAACACAGAGCAACAACCTGATGGAACGTGTACATGTACATGTGTATGTGTGTATGTGTGTGTATGCGTTTGTGTGTGTGTGTGTGCTCACATGTGTTTTTTGTGATGCTACCACACACACCTTCATCTCATTTGCCACAGTCTTTGACCCTCGCACCCGGAACCAGCTCCATTCAGCATTACTGTCCATCGTGATCTGGCCGGGCCTCCCAGGGCTGAGTTCCAAGTCAGTTTTACCCTCCTGGGTCCATTTATCTCTTGGCCCGAGTTAATCCATCACTGACCAAAAGCCAGATGGGAGACCCCATCTGAGAAGAGGGTAGAGGAGGTGGAATTTTCCTTTTGACGTCTGGAAAAAAAGTCTCAGGGAAGAGCAAATGTGACGACGGGGAGTTTCTAAATTTGCCCCATGAAAAAAATATATATCATCATTACAAACAAGATTGATTTGAAGATTTCACAGTGGTCATGCATCTTCAGTGTCACCTCCTTTCCTCACCTGTAGTCCGTTCATTTTTCTATCGCCTCCCCAAACATTTATGATCCACGTAAAACATGAAACCCCTTTTTTCTTCTCGTCTGCCAGAGGGTACTGGAAGTGACCACAGTCAAAAAGAATACAGAAAGACGAAGAGGTGGGCGACCGGTGGTACATTCAAACAAGAGAAAGACGGTTCCAGAGGTCACCCGACCTGGTCAAGATTAGACTGAGAGTGCTGAAGAGCCTGCGCTGGACAGGCTGTGATAAATGCTTTGTTTAGAAACACGAAGACAAAACACATCTCATTTGAAAATGTACATTTCGTCAAACCCTCTGAGATGATCCACAAACACAAACCCAACCCTCCTACTAAAAACAGACTATGGTTATACATGTCATTTTAATACGATATCTGAGCTTCTCATACAAAAAAACAAAACTCTATGAGTTTTATATCACATTGCTGTGAAAATACACTGAGTCTGAAAATATCAATACATATAATATTACATTTCCGATATTTAAATCTGTGCCCACATTGCGCCCCACTTTTTTACTTTGTGTGTGTGTGTGTGGTGTGTGTGTGTGTGTGTGCACAGGCTGGGCCACTGTCCTCCTCTCCGTCTCTATACATTTGTTCCTCTTCTTCTTTTTCACTGGCTCTGAAATTCATCCAGAAAGTATAGAAATCCAATTACAATGCGAGCTCGGCCTCTTCCAATGGTTGGTTTGATGATGGGACAGCAATGTGTGCAAAATCCAATTTTTGTGCATCCAGGCTGATCACTTAATGCATTCTGCCGTGATTGGATAATGCATTGGAAATGCACTCAACAAGTTTAATCATAGCTGGGGGAATATATCTATCCTGTCAGCGGCAAAGAATCACTAGTCAAATCAAACGGATCCTCTTGAGATGAGTGCTGAGACGATTCCCCCGTGTGTTTCAGCTAAGCGGTGCTGCACCACCCGGACTTTGGGGATCAGAGATGAAGAGCAGAATCCCAGGCGAATCAAAAAATCAAACCCTCTCAGTCAGGAGAGTGCTGTCCATGCCTGGACCACGGAAGGGGCTGGCAGTGGTGGTGTTTGGTGGTTGTATAGAGGTGGAGGTGGGACAAAAGGGAGGAGGCAAAATAAGAGGGCTTCCCTGAGGGGTGATGGATTAAGAGGGACAGCCAGCCCAGCTCAACAACCCAGGGTTGGAGCTATGAGAAGAATGGTAGAAGAGGGTCACAGCCAGGGGAGGAGTCCCAGGAGCAGTGAGGCCAGAGCTGCGGCTAACAGGGTCACGGTCCCCGGCCTCCTGGGTGGACCTCCATCAGTCAGAAAGGGCTCCGGAGAATCATATCCTGACCCATCTGGAACAGAAAAAAATGAAAGACAGAAAAACAAACCCATCTGAGAGGGACACAAACACAGTACAGAGACAAATAGAACACATTTACGTACACACAAAGATCGTGGATTTAAAAACGTGTGTTCAACCTTTCATGTTGAAAGAGTTATTTTTTTGTTATAACGCTTTGTGCACGTTCAGTTCATTTACAAGTGAAATATACTGTACACTTTCCTCTGCTCCTGTGTTAATTGAAGGCAGATCTTTAGCTGTTAGCTTTTGTTGTTTAATGATTCCAGCAATAGCGTTACCTACTGTACTTTACTGTAATATTTATTCCCAGAGTCTGCTCAAAACTTAAGCTACTATTTCTGTTGTTTTAAAAATGTGGAGGTAATAAGGTTATCGCTAACTAGCTAACATGCTAACATTTGTAAGCAGTCTGTAAGATAGCTTTGCATATGTTAAGGTCAAACTACCGTATGTAAAGTTTTTAGCAAGTTAGACTCGAAGCCTTAACATCTGTGTTTGTTTGTCAGACTTTAGGTGATTCCAACTTTGTGTTATTATATATTACCTCTTGCTAATCAACCAGCCATACAGAACACAGTGTTTGATTATAACTATTGCCATGAAGCTAACATGTGTACTGTACATGTATTTTAATTGTCCAGCTTCAGGGAGACTAACGTAATAATCTGCTTTCCCCGGGAGCAATCTAAACATACTGACAGGCAACCTCACAGAGAAACAAAACCGTGAAGTGGATTTAGGGACAAATGTGTTAAATGAGCGACAAACCACAAACGTCTCAACATTCAGCTGTCAAAGAACGGCTGAAAGAAGATGGCAGAGAAGAATGAGCAGAGAGGGAGGAGAAGAAGGCGAAGGAAACGGAGCTCTGCAGGGGGTTTAACCAACCTAATTACAGTTTAATCACACAGACTCAGAATCTGGAGCAGCTGACGACACACACACACACATACACAGACGTAACAAGTCACACACGTGCCGCCCGTCACAGCTCACTCTGGCTACAATATTTCACAGCCACGATGGAAAATTGCAATGTCAGACAGATTACTTTAACATCACAAAGAAAGGGCAGAGTTGTCAGAGAGTAGCTGCATCAGTGACACAATAAAGGAATGTGTGTTGTTTTCAGTAATTATGGACGAGGAGAACATTTTCCATCAGTGAAAGAAAGAATGATCTGAGCCTAGAAAGCTACGGAGGCCTGCTCTCACCCTTGTTCTATCTTCAAAGCCGTGTCATTATCTTGGAAGACGTGTTATTACCGGGTTTGTGCTTCCTTAGTCTGGCTCAGGTTGAATACTCATGAGACAGAAGAGAATCCGCCTTTGAACAGGTAGATTTTCAAGACAACGTAACGTTAGCGTAATGCCGCGCTACTATAACCCGATCCCCATGTATACCGATTCTCTGTAGAGCTATTTTTGAATAGGCAGTATCACTGGCCTACATGCTGCTCCTGTGTCTGCGCTGCCTCTGTAAAAGAGCTGTTTTCTCTGAAGAACGTATCTTACAAAGCTGTTAAGATAAAGAAATGCTTCATTTCTAACACATGGATGATGCACGAGGAGAGTTTTATCAAGAAATATAAAGTGTCTATTATTAGATTAGTCCTCGACTGCATGTGATTGCTTTATAATTAGATTGCTCTCTTGTTTCCTGTGAGTAAATGGAGCTAATGCAGCGATGTCGAGGCTTGGTAACATTTTCAGAGAGCACTTCCAGCCCTGCTCTGTTCTCTTTTTACAAGGACAGAAGGTCTCTCTCTCTCTCTCTCTCTCTCTCTCTCTTTCTCTCTGTCTCTCTACCTATCTATCTATCTACCTATCTATCAAGCCCTATCTCTAGCTCCCTCTTTCACACCCTACTGTGATGTGATGTGATGCAATTTGAAGTGAAGTGCGTATGCCACTTTAGGTCCGAGCTGCTCTGTGTTTCTGTGTGGTTGTCTATATGTGAAAAGGTGTTCAAGTGTTGCCTGGCTGGTCTGTGAATCAGAGCAGAGACTGTTGCCTGCACGGACCTTTCCATCAGACCCTCTTATCCCCCCTTAATTTTACTCTGATAGCCAATCTGGACTGGTGTGTGTGTGTGTGTTCGTATGAGTGTGTGTGTGTGTGTGTGTGCCAGTCTGAAAGTGTAGTTAGAGCGTGACTTACCTGGAGGTCTGACATACACCTTCAGCTTTAGACATGCCCGTCCCACGTGGTTTGGGTGAGGAGACGCTGTGAAAAGTAAGTGAGTGAGAGAGAGAGAGAGAGAGAGAGAGAGAGGATTAGCAGAGAGATAAAGTGATTTGTGCAGCTGATTGCTCTCATGTGGTAATTGAGGACATTTAATAAAAGTTTCATACTGTTCTGTCACTTGGAATCGTGAGGCTGATTACCGGCTGATTGGTTAGTGTAATGGTGGCCGACAGATTGCTGAGACCATCCCTGGATTTAACTGCAGGCTTCATAGCAAAACCAACTGAAAGCAACATCTACACCATTTATTTACTTCTTGGCCTCTGTTTGGTTTTCTTTTTGTTCCATAGCAAATACAACTTACTTTGTTTCTAAATGTTTTCAAGTAATATCTATAGGTGCACACTATATACGTGAGTTTTTTCAACTTTATTTTCAACTTTTTTTTTTACTATGAATACAATAGAGAAAAAAAATACATAAGAGAAACAATAGAGAAAATACCACTAAAATAACTATAGTTCAACATTAGACTAAATTGATCAAAAATAGAGAAAAACTATCATGCAATTAGACATACATGTTTACCTAAAATACAGTAGCTAAAACTAGGCCACAATAGCCTAATAGCTATATGTTAAATTAAAATACAGAAAAAAACCCTAAAAACCTAAAATACAGTAGCTAAAATTAAGCCACAATAGCCTAATAGCTATATGTTAGTGTAGAAGATAAAAAGCTTGATCATAAATTCAGTAAAGGTTAGTCATAAACACTAAAATAAAGGTAGGTTAGAATAATAGGGACATAATTAACTAAATGTTCACAAAAATAACTAAACAAGCTTAAAGTTACCTTGAAGTAATGCCAAAAATAGCTAGGTAGAAAAGTTGCTTGCTGATACGTAAAAAAATAATTTTAATGGAATAAGGTGTGAAACACATTAAATCCTTCCAAGTGCCACGTTTTGCCCCGGGGCCAGATTCCGAACGCACCTGAAAACGTATACATTAATGCAGCTTCTGAAAGTAGAAGTGACAGAAGCGACTTTACAAAGACAGTGTCTCAATAACAACTTCACAAATGTACAGCTGGTGGCATTCTATATATTTTCCTGCAGTCAATAATTCAAAAATCACATTAAGGATTAGAAAAAACAGAGGAAACAAAGCACACAGCAATATTGATCACATTAAGGATTAGAAAAAACAAGAGAGGAAACAAAGCACACAGCAATATTGTTCAGAGTCAACATCTGATATATCATATGCTTTTATGCTAAAGGCAGATGGAGACATGTTCCATTATGATGATGGATGACATGATGACACAGGCCGTGTGGTTTATCTCAAGTCATTCTCATATATGCACCACGCTGCTGTTATACTGTGTGCAGTCACTACAATAATTTGGAAATCATTTCTACATGATGATGGCCTAATAAAAAATTAATTTAGCCAAACCACACTGCAAATGATTGAGCTTTCATCATTGTTATCACTTTAACTAATGTATAGTATTCTATAGGAATTAGTACTGGGACAGTGCTGCAGTCGGTGTAATACTGAGATATTCACAGACTATGTAAAGAGACAAATTGTTGGTTTTGGCCTTTAGACTGGATTTATGGCTAATAGGCCAAATATGGAGAAACACACGCGCCGTCATTGAAATAATAACGCAGGACTTAGGGAAAGCTCGGCAGCTGTTATCCTTGCAATTGTGTTTTTTCTCAATTAAAATAATTTCAAAAATAACAAACCAGCTGACACATGGTGACCCTGGGGGCTTCATTACTGCTGAGGATTTTATAAAGCCCGCGTTGGAATCTTTACGACAGCTCACAGTAATTATCGGGTTGACACCAAAACCTCCTGATAATCCAACACTATTGGATATTAATGTAATGTATGTATCCACAGCGTGCTGAGACCAGGTATCAGGTATTCATCTGCAGACTGGAGAACTGTTTGTGCCATCTGTGAAGCTAACTTCAAACAGGGATATTGGCTAACATCTCCTGCTTGGTACCATGTAAACAAACCTGCAACTGGTCACAACAACTAGCTTATAAGATAGCTTTTTAAGCAAGTAAATATTTTGTTTTTACAAATGCAATTATGGAAAATACATCTCAATATGTACTTTGAAAAAAGCAAAAGAAAGAGAAATGATATCTTAAACACTATGAATCAAACTTCTTCGATCATGACCTGAAAGTAGCATTAGCGCTATGCTAATATTCTGGGCCTACATTCTGGGTTTGAGGAACAATGCACTGTGTATCTTATTGAAATGCAAGAAAGCAGTAAAGTAGCTAGCATTGTCATGCGCTAGGGAATGTAAACTGACTCACTGTCAGCTCACAAAAGCCAAATATGCGCAGGTTTGGACATCCATTTTAGCGCACGTTTTTGTATGCTATATTACTAAGTTTTACTCAAAAAACAACAACAGCAAAAAACAAAAACAAAAAACAATTTAGGCTTAGCACAAGCAGAATATGCTAACCATGCTAACATCTGTGTCTTTGTTGTAAAAATAAAAGGTTTTCCATAATGTTGTTTTAGTTGTTCTCATTGTTAGCTTAAAATTTCCCAAAGTCAACATAGATTTAATCCATAAATAGCTAAAAATTCAATAAGTTAACCAAAAAGTTAAGATTACTGTAATTTAAAAAAAAGAAAGAAAAATTAGGCCATATAAGGCAAAAAAAAAAAAAAAAGAATCCGGGAACATTACTGACAGCAAGTAGAGCAGAAGGAGGATGGGATCTGCCACAGCTGACAGGTTCTTCTCCAAAAATTGGAGAGTGAAAGTGTGTGGTGGTGGAATATTTGCGATGGCACGGAGACTAATTGACATCGGAGCATCGCAGCTTCTCCTTGATCCATCCATTGTCTGCAGCGGGCTTTTAAAATATGCCCACAATGTCAGATTTGAACACAATTCCAAAGTTGAGGCTGCCTGTGAGTGTTTTTTGGTCACAGGTACTGAGTGGGCTGTGCGTCAGATTTTAAGAGCTGTGAATCTGATTTTGACAGTCACAGCAAAGATGGGTCTTCAAAAATGAAAAAAGAGTTTTGTCCGCAGGTTTCATGTAGGCCCTAGGCAAATTGTCCATTTGTGGTAAGAATACAGATGTATACAGCCGTCACATTTTGTCCTGTTCAAACCTAAATCTATGTGAACAGTCAGGACCGGTGAATTTCTTACCAATATTGCTATCTTCTCTCCACTGTTTCCATCCAAACACAAGCAGAAATGCCAAAAAAATATACCGCAAAAAGTGAAAAAAGAAGATATGATGCACTGAAGGTATTTCATATAAATAATTCATTAGTATTTGATGTTTCTGTAGTCACCCTGCTCCTTTTTTGATGTCATACATTTGTCAAATAACAGAAATGCACCTTTTCTTACTTTAATATTATATCTTTCAAGATTTCATAAATCAATGTTCCAAAGCTACTCCTGTAAGCTCCCTCACCATTTTAGGAAACGTAAATAAAAGCCTGGAAGGGATCAGCCCACACACAGGGACCGAATCACACTCACATTCATACCACAGGGAAATAAGTGAATTTCAAATAGACAAAAAAGACTTGAATGTCTTTGAAATCGGGGGCGAATTTCAATGCATACAGTATGGGCACATGAGGAGGTTTGTGCAGGACTCCCTGGCTAAACCATTTCTTTCTCCAAAAAGTTTTGGAAAGACTAAATGAATTCCATTCGGGGGCCTTTAGCACCACCTCATTCTCCTGAAATAGAGGCTGGAGACCCTGGAGGAGAGCAGGTCACCAGCTCTATGACTAGTCATGCACGGCGACATGCACCCATGGTGGAGGCACGGAAGTGTGTATGTGTGTGGAGACCTTTTGAGGAAGTCCACATATCACAGTGACCCCAAAGAAGGCCATCATCAAGAACCACAGTGCACAGGAAATAAATCTGACCTTTCTCTTGCCCTCTTTTCTCTCTTTTCTACCCACAACTCCGCCCACCGTCATTTTCTTCTGCTCTTCACCCTCTTTAACCTGTCGTCTTAATGCCCACTTCTCGTGTCAAATTTCGTTTAATTTCCAAACACAGGAAAATGTCAAAGTCTAAAATGTCAAAATAAGTGATCAAATCTAAAAGCCTTTATTTTTATTTATTGGACTCAATTGTGCTAATCGATATCGATCAAAGCCTTTACTTTTATTTATTGGACTCAATTGTGCTAAAATCCAATAAACTGTATGACTTGAGTTGTTTGTCACAGAGCATCTCATGAGGTTTTCTTCATTTACTTCTCCGTATTAAACCCTATCGAAGCTCAGCAGCCATTAGCTTCTATCACGAAGCACTGGAAAGATTCTATCAGTGAGTGGCTGCCACCTATTCTCACTCTATCCTCAATCAAATTAAAAGACTCTCTAAAGATGTAAAAAATATTTTTTTTTGCTAAAAGAAACTCTGCGACTTACATATATATGGTGGAAAATGAAAATGCATCTTTGGTTGCACTGTGACTGAAAAAAATAAGGAGGATGTGGAGGGAAATTTATTTGTTTGTGCAGGTGTTCAGACTTAATTAAAGTCAAAGGAGATAAACACCTGAGAAAATGCAGACTCATTCGACCTGTGGAAATTGTGGTGAAACCTTTGATCAGGCAGTTTTTTTTTTTTCTTTTGGACGGTTGTTGAAGCGTCATAAAGCTTCTGGACCAGCTGTAACTCGCTTTGTTTTGGCTTCTTTACTTTCTTCCGATGAAAAATGGTGACACTAGAAGACAAACTCATGAGATATAAATCTTGGCCCCACATCTTTCCGATGCCCTCTAACAATTCTCACGTTTGTCATTTTTTAAAAAGTCTTATCAGCTCCTCCAGCGCCTCTGTTTCCCAGCACATGGGCAATCCGATGGTCTCCGAAAAGCCATTGAAAATCACTCAAGCTCATCAGACGGCAGCTGGGAGAAGTAAGAGGTGGAGCGGACCTGTCAACATGTCAACCTCGTGACAAATACCCGCACCAACGGTGCACACGGCGGCACACACTCCATACAACCACAAACTACCACCGGAGATGGATTTTTTATTTTGAGATTTTGTACTTTGACTGTGGAGAGGACACACACATTAGAAGGACAGGGTGGTAAAAACGATGAATTCACTTTAACACCAACCTGCGCGTGTATATTACGTGTGTGTGTGTGTGTTTATCTGTGCATGTGAGAAACAGTGAGAGACTAAAATGTGTGTGTGGTGCTGTCAGTCAAAATGATGGACATGTCCTTTCATGGTCTTACAATTGGATGACAACTGACCCTGCAACTGTCCCTACCCCCGCAACTAACACACACCCTAACACACACACACAGACAATACACTTCACCCTCAGGGGATCTCAGAGACACAGTACGTTAGTCAGCAACTACAGGACAGAGGGGCCCATCCATCCTTTTATGGGACCGAAGACGAAACAGTGTGAGTTTTTGCGTGTGTGTACCAACTGGGAGTTGTGCACAAGGACGTCGGGTGACTGTTATCTCCTGCTTTATAGCTCTATGGCTCACACATGCTGTGTCTTTGTGGTGGTGAAGACAGCAGACTGGGAGAGAGAAGCGTTTGGTATCATTTTAAAGTCATCACTGTTTGGTTCAATGTCAATAAAATGATTAAGTTTGGAATAACTCTGCATATTTAATACGTTTAACGGAAAACTGTCCCTGTATTTGTATAGAAAATCAATGTCCAAGGACAATTAAACATCACAGGGCAGTATGTCCACATACGCAGTTATTGCTTGAATAGGCAATGTTTTTTGGACAGTTGTCTAAGTCCAAGGGAAGAAGACTGAAGACGGTAATCCAAGTCCTTCACACAAGTTTTAATATCCTTAAAAAAGACAGTGAGTAAATACAATAAGAGTAATACAACAATTGACCAGTTAAAAGATGAAACTAGCTGTTAGCAAGTTGGCTAGAACTGAAACATAAATACTTTATTTGTTTTGTTCTCTTCATTTCATCACGTGTCATCATGTCTTTTTTGAAGGCAGCTTCTGTGTGCTAATGCTAATAAATTTAGCTTTTATTTTTATTACGTTGATGTGGTGTACTTTTCGTGTACAAGTCGTTGCTTACCTGCGAAGGAGATAAACAGTAGCGCAGCATAAATCCAAAAGGGTTAGCTACCTGCTAACATTTGATGGTTGACAGCAAAGCTATCAGTTAGCTACTTTCCTTCTCTTGGCAAGGTATCACAGGTTGTAGTTTCTATATGGTTATGGTGTTACGTTGAAGCATAGAAGGAAAAACGTTTGATTACGGAGGCACTTATCAGATTAGCATATGCTGCTATTAGCTTTGTGGTTAGGGCTAACATGTTTACATGGAGTTTTAATATTGAGACTAGCACAACAACACAGTTCTATTATTCATGATGTAAACAGAGCATAGAGAGACTCTATTGAAATAAATAATAATTACCTAAATGATGAATAAAGTAATCTCTTTATTTCATAGCTTCTTCTGTCAACATATCCTAGACTTTAAAGTAATCTCTTTATTTTATAGCATGCTTCTTCTGTCAACATATCCTAGACTTCTTTATATTTGAGATGTCTTATTTTCCCTTTTCTGTCACATTAACGTTGAACTGGCTCTTTAATTTTTTAGGTCTGGACTCTGTGGCATGATGGCACAAATATTTTAGTCTTTGATTTATCACTGAATAATTAAATCATATTCTGTTGATTTTTTTTTCTTCTTTTTTGGCTTAAGAAAAAGTTATCTTAGCAGTCTGGATCAAGTTGCCTTGGACTGGAAACAAGTCATATTTGGCATGAATTCAATGAAGCTGCCTGCTGAGCCAGATCGTTGCTAGACTTCTTCTGGTCTCATCCAACTTTAAAAAAATGTCTGGCCTTCACTCTCTTTTGTTCCTGACCTCTTTTAAATCCTTACATTCTCAATAACCAATCATACTTACACATTTGCACATCTGTAATTGTATTTTCTGTTTTCTGCTGTTCGTTCTCCACTCTGTCTTTCTACCTTACACACAACAATGTTTCCACTGTATAGAAAAACATTAAATGTTGCAAAAGCACTATAAATAATTTATGTGTACTACAGTGTACTCCTCTCACAAAGTGAGTCTAGTGTGTGAAAAATTAATTGTGGAAAATAAAAAAAAATAAAAAAATGAACAGGGCTCAAATGAATCAAGATACATATTAGCATAACTTACATATTAACATAAGAAAATAAAACGTTTCCAAAGAAAGAGACGTAGAAAATAAAACGTTTCCAAAGAAAGAGAAAGAGAATTAAAGGAAAACACGTGTCAACAGAACCAAGAATAACCAACAAGACACAGGTGGACGATGTCAAGTAAAAGTCCACATTTGCTAAAGAGACACCTCAGAGCACAGTCCACTGAGACAGAAACATGATGCCAACATGATGTGCTCCCTGTGATTGGAGGAGGAAAAGCTGGGATTTTTGAACCAAGCTGTCAGAAATACCACTATACAATAACAAATAACAAATTTAACAGATACGAAGTTACATCACAAACGGAACATTACCCTTCTGTTTTTCCTACCGATGTTTGTGGCCTAATGCTCGCAGAATGCCACATGATGCTGTGAGAAGTAGGACTCTTAGTTCGGTAGGAATTTAAATAGAAAGACTAAAAAAACTCAAAGCAGCCGACAGCTAAACTGGGTCTTGGTTTTGATTCAGTCTTGTTATAGTACAACGGAACAAAAATACTTGAAAACTGGCAGAGAACTACAGTATATCTCCAGAAGCCCACAGTGAACGCTATTGACTGGTCTGCACAAACCCTGACTTAAATCCCACTGAATCTCTGCGGAGAGAACCGAAGACCAGGGTCCATGCCAGAAGATCATCAAATCTGGAGGAGCTTAAGAGATTAGCCAAGAGAAATGGGCTGAGATACCTCGGGAGACTTGACTGAAACTTGTTCAAACCTTCCCCAGGAGACGGCAGTCTGTTATTTAGAAGAAAGGGAGCACAACTGACTATTAGGATCAGAGAGGCTGATGCTTCTGCCCGTGGTATTTTGTTGAGTTTTGCGAAATACTTTTGTTTTCTATAAGTGGAGTAAAGCAGTGTAATCTTCCGGAATAAGGGGTTAAAGTCCTAGGAGAATAAATGCAACTCTTCTCTGTGGGGGGAAAAGTGGGGACGTTGACGTTTTTTTCCAATCTTTTGAAAGTCAATTTAACGTGCATTTCTTTGATTACCCCAGTGATCCTGTGGCAGAAGCCGTAAAAAACCGCCCCGCCCATACGGCACCGTGGGCAACTGAAAACAATGTTTAAGAGTTATTTGAAGATACCGTTGGTCCAATGCCTGGTGGTGGGGAATTATAGCTTTTTAAGTCTGTTCAGAAACACAGTGTGAGGAGCCAACGCTCGCCTGGCTGTGGAACTAACACATCATTTGTTGATGTGAGTTGGAACATCAATACAGCTAAAATCAAAATGATCACAAATTAAGTCTGGTGACATTTTTACAACTTTGCTGAGCACAAAAGTTGCACCACTATCACTGCAGGAAGAAACATCAAGAATTAAGACTAGAAGGAAGTTAGTGAGTGAATGAACGCTGGGGAGGATTTCATTCACGGCTGTGGATGGTGGGCGGTGCTGTCAGAACTCTTTTAATCAGCTTCTGTTGATTACAAACTACTTATAAATGCATATTAGGCAGCACACATGCACAAAAAGAAAAACAAATAATCCTTGAAATCGCATACAGTAGTACTTACAGATGTAGTAGTACTCGTGTCCAGGCCTGAACTCGAAGCCCAGAGAGAAGGGGGTAAAGAGCTGGAACTTCTCAGAGAAGCGCAGGGGTCCGTCAGGACCGGTGGGACGGTTGCATTCCCAGCGCTTAAAGCCACGCATTCTGTGCTGGCAGGATGTGTAGCCCTCGTAGTTGACCATGAAGAGGATGTAGCGCTCCATGCGGCCGTGGGATGGTGGACCCTCGTAGTAGGGACAGTAGATATCCAGGTAGTCATTGATGTTCACCGCCACCCTGTACTCGCCGTGCCAGAACCTAAAGACACAAACACAAGGAAATACATGATAAGAGAAAACTATAAATAGAACCTTAAACAGGCTGGAAGGTGTCAGAGTGGAAAGTCGGGTTTTGAATAATTCAAGTGTGCGGTGAAAACTGCAGTGACAGGTGGTTATGTTTACAGCAATCATAAAATATACTCTGTAGTGTTGCTTACATACAGGTAATTCCATTGTTATATAACAGTTTTCTTTAGACTTTGTATTCATTTAAAAAACAACAACTACAGTCAGTTTGTTTACTAAGTAAAAATAAATGAATGCAATGAAAAGTCACTCTGAATTAAATTTGAATTTTCAAAAAGGCAGATTAAAATTGTAAAATTTGTAAAATATATATCAAATATATATAAAATATAAAAATGTCTAAACATTGAAGAAATACATGCCTAATAACCTGAAACAAGACCAAAAAATGGCTGGATGAAATAAAAAGCTAAATAATTAAAAAAACAAAAACAAATCTAAACTAAATCAGAAATTCCAACATTTTCTCTATGAGTAGATACAAAATGATCTAACTCCGTAAAGTTATGCAAGAAATAGCTAAACGTTGGGACAAATACATAGCAAAAGGTTAAAAAGTTTAAAATAGATATTTAGGAAATTTAGCCAAACACTGCAAAGAGTGAATACAGTAGGTGGAATATAGCTCTATGAGTAGATACAAAATGATCTAACTCCGTAAAGTTATGCAAGAAATAGAGTGAATACAGTAGGTGGAATATAGCCTAAAGATCAAGTCAGTCTATTTATAGTACATTAGATCCTTCTGGACTGGGCAGCTTGTTGTCAGCAAATAATTGGTAAATGGGAAACATTTACATGAATGGATAAAAATGGACCAATGAAAAAACAAGGCAATATACATTTACCCAAAAATATCTTACGTCAAAGTACCACATTTGCCGCTGCCAGACTTTGGAGTGTATATTTCTAAATGATTCCGTTCAAAAACAGCAGCTCTTTATAACCAATCTCAATGAATTAAGCGTCACAGGGATTAACATTATGTTTGGAATAAAGGATTTTTTTTCTCCATCAGTGGCTGAAATAACCAGCTAATGACACCCAGGAGAAATGGGTCATGTGATGAACAGCACCTTCATTATCATCCCATCCCCTACAGCAGTGTTCAGAGGCGGCCGGGGTTAATGTCCACTTAGTTCTGTACACATACGGATCACGCAGGTCGGTGTGATGAATAGAAGTGGGTCAGAGGTCGACCAAGAAGAACATATCTGTACATAAACATCATGTAGAGGGAGACTGGAGCTTCTCCTTCTGGCACCGAGTCAAGGATCACATGCAGGTAACATATGGAAACACATACGTTGGCATCTTCTCTCATCTCTTCTCCAAAGCCTTTTCACTGCTCAGATGTATTGGAAACATATGGCTGCATGGTTCCTCTACATAATGCAGGCTCTATTAAGGCTGGAGCCGCGGTGCCACTGCTGTGGAGCCAGTTTCTGTTTACCATCTCGCAGTCACTGGAGTGAAACAGCCCTTCTCGTCCAGGATAAGGCCTGTGATATTCTATATTTTTGTTATTGCCGACAAATGCCATTAAAAGATAAAAGCTGAGGTCAACTTTTTAACTTTACATACATACAGAACGACGCCCGGCTGAGAAACAGTCCCAGACGTCCTGGTTTCTTCAGAGGACATTAATATCAAAGACAGCGGTCACGAAGACACGTCGTCTTTCTTAAGAGGGGATAACTAATTTTTCCTAAACGGCCTGGTTGGCGTCAAATCCTGAGTGTATTCTCACATCTACGCTGTGATGCATTTGTTTGAGGCTATTTTCAGTCACATGTAGGACGTCATGTAAATGTTTAATGCGGTTGTGATTATTTCTGGCAGCGGGTTTGTTGTACACAAGATAAACTCACAGATTCTGTGTTTGAAAAGAAGCCGTGTGATTCAGACTGGAGAACCCCAGAGACTGTGAATATACAGACAATGGAATACAACACAGAGTATATCACAAGAGTATGCTAGTTATTGTTAGCTCACTACAAAAGAAGAAAATCTGATGTAAATATGTAAACGTAAATGTCAAATAGTCAAGGTAAGAGGAAAGAATTCCAGAGTTTGAGTCTGCCGTAAAACCTGGGCTAAAAGTGCAATTCTAATCACCAGACTCACAAATGCAAAATAAATAAAAAATAAAAAATACCTGATATGTAACAGAAAAAGAAACTTTAGTTAAATGCAGAATATATATATATAAAACATTTTGTTTCTCACTAATTTATACCTAAAAATTGACATCATAGATACTGTATGTCTTATTGTAAACATTTAAGTAGTTAGCTAAAGAGAACAGGCTAATATTTGCCAAAATAATTGATCAAAGTTTAGCCATCAGCTAAAGTACAATATAAAGTTGCTTTAAAAAACCCAGATATTAGGGATGGCCGAAAATATTGGTTTGCCGATATTATCTGCCATCCCTACTATAGTTATACATAGACAGACACCAGGAACTGCCAGAAAAATATATCGACGGTGCCAAAATATATTAAAATATATAGACAAAAATGAGTCAATTTTAACAAAATAAGTGAAAGGAAAATAAATTAAAAACTAGCTCAGAGCTAGTAGAAAAATAACCAAAATAGCTTAAAGGTAGCCCAAAATGAAGAAAAAAACTTAGATGTTGCTAGGGGTTAGCAAATATGAAAAAAAATAGATGAAAAATAAAATAAAAATGTGAAAGATTGTATTCATCACCTCTCTGTGGCTACGATCCATTTACTTTCAAATGTTTCTCATTAGATTCTACTTGGAATTCAGCTGCTGCTCTCTTATCAAATCTAATCCTGTCTCTCAAATCTGGGTAAATTTAAGACTCAGGGGAAAAATGTATTCAGTCAAATGAACGTAAACATAGGGAGACGGTCGTCGGGCCGATGTCATCTACTCAGATCGCATGCACAGGCACGGATTGCGCCTATTTTTTCTTAAACAAATTCCTCATTTTCCTCCTCACCTTGGAGGTAATTGATTGCCTGAATGAAGACATTTGGGTCTGAGCACTTTTGGTTAGCTGGATATTTAGCTTTGGGACAAATTATGCCTATAACCACAGGCCTGTCTCTTCTCCCAGAGGGCAAATCAGGAAGTGAGTTAGGTGTAATGAGTGCCTTCATGCTTGGACGCCCAATCACAGAGAGTTCTGCAGGTTCTAAAAGGATCCGAGCGCAGATCATTTAGATGCATCGATCCACAGGGGAGCTGCTCTCGGCTCTCTTTTGCTCCCAATCAACTCCGATTAACAGGTGGAGGGAAAAATGAGAGTACGGCGGAGGGAGAACCAGAGGGAGATAGAGAGAAAGAGATGCATGGAATGAAAATTAAAAACAAGAAAAAAGAAAAACGAGACAAAGGAGAAATGGTTGGAATGAGGAAAAAGGAAAGAGAAGGAGGGAGAAGGAGGAGAGGAGACGAGTTTAAGGGTGGTAAATAATATTGCAAAGAAGTTCAGGAAAAGTAAGTAATAAGCAGAAAAAGTGGAGAGAAATAAAGAAGGAGTAAAAAAGGAGAAGTAGGAAAAACAGGAGGAAGAGGTTGTTTTTTCTCTCTCCCTTTAATTTGTCTGACCGAGGGTTTCCATCTGAAACAAATGTGCTTTTTCCTATTGATTGTGCACTGATACATTTATGGATGACTGCACTCTGAGCATTATGCTGAATTTATCTGTGTGTGAATGCAAATGTGTGTGTGTGCTTGTCTGCGTGTGTGTACTGTGTGGAGCAAAAGCTCAGAAACTCCTCTGTTTACTATTTGTTACCCAGAATAATTGGAAAAAGTGGGAAGAACTCCTGCCTTACAGCAACAAGATCACTGGTTCGATTCCCAATACCAAATGATTGCCTTCCTGTATTAAGTTTGTGTCGTACATTACCCAAAGGGGGCGCCACCAACACATGAGTTTAAAACATTTAATTACAGGGAAAATAGAATGCACTTCATGTCAACGCTGCTCAGTTTCCTCATTTTCTCATTAACACACCCTCCAGCCCAGCAGGTGGTAGTAATGCACCTATAGTTTTTTTTTACCCAGCCAGGTTGAAGTCACTACAGTAGAATGTCCATGGTATTGATCACTCACTATCTCTTCACATAAAATACTATCACAGAAAATGTAACCCCAACTCAGAACTGGGCAGATCTTTAATTTTTTCGTACTGATTTTGAAATGCGCATTCAAGAGTCTCCATAAAATCATTGATACCAATCTCCTATTAAAATATCACATTTTAAATTATGATATGATGGCAGAAATTCCAATCATCCCACAATGTATTCACATTAGACAGATTGGACTTTTTTTTTTTTTTTTTTTTGCGTATCTCAGCCTTTTATTCCTTCGTAAAAGAAACTTTTTTTTGGCTGCAACCCTTTTATTAAGATAACATCTGAAGAGACTTCTGTGAAACGGTTGATGGATGAATTGTAGACCATGATGTATTTTCCAAATCCTATCTGTCTGTTCTATTCCTGAAAAGAGCCAACGGGAATCATTATCCATTATATTTAGACACAGTGACTCGGGCCATGTTCATTTCTCAGATCCCTTAATTGGACCTTGTTAATTTATTTCCTAGTTTCTAACACGGTCACATTCTCTATGCTTTACATAAACATTTAATTCAACAAATATTATTTTAATAATTATGCTTTACATAAACATAATTAAAAAATTCATATTTTATATATACATATAATACACTTACCTCAAAGACGTTTTAATTCAACAAATATTATTTTAATAAATTATTTTTGGATAAAAATATGAAAATTAGCCTCTAAATAATTAAACCAACTGTAACCTTCAACAATAGTCTTGAAGTTTCACTTTCTTTTAACACTGGAGCTCATCTTTCATCAATGTTAGCTGCTCCATTAGCATTGTCTTAGCCTAGCTTTTTGGTGTCACAGTGTATTCTGTTCCCTGTCCAATTT